CATCGCGTGCCTCGTAATCTTGCAATATGCCGCTTGGTGGTTTGATCAGGATCCTATGATTCCCGGATCGGACGGCTGATATAAAATTCCTGGTCGACCTTCTTGACGGTTTCTAATTGCCTCTTGAGTTTTTATTGGTGTGCGTGAAAGTATGGGTTTTCAAACATCACGAACATGGCCGTCCCGTGGGGTCAACTCACAAACGTGAAAATGGAAATTAACTGCTTAAATATATACTTTCTCCCTTTTTAAAATATACCTTTCTAATTTTATTATAAATCATTTTAACATATTTTATTAAAATTTTAAAAAATTTAAAATTTATTAATTTAATCTAAAAATGAATAAATTTTCAGCGTTAATACACATTTTAATAATAGATTTTTTGTTTCCAATATTTAAATGAGGGTAAGAGAAATTTTTTTATAAAAATTTATTAATATGACTTATAAATATTTTCTCTTTTTATTTATAAATAAGATGAAAGGAAGAACTAGTACTTTCTCCAATCACAATGTACAATAATTTTTAAAAGTCTTAATCTAAGATATATGATATTGAATAATTTTTATAATTATTTTTATTAATTATATTCCTGCTTCATTTATTATTCTTTTAAAAAATAATATAATAAAATTTTAATTATTGTAATCAAATTATCTATATAGAATATTTAATAAGAGTGAAACTAATAAGATGTAATTTTTTAAGAAATTAAAATTTTAAACAAATTTTAAAATTTTAAATATCATAATTAAATTACTTAATTGTAGTTTTTAAATTTCACATGACTAATATTATAAACAAATCTACTCTGTGGGATTTGTACGTATTTTTTTCTAAAAATTATTAAAATAATATAACTTGTGTGATATTTCTTAAAACTAAATTATAGCACTTTCATCATATTTTGTTGAAATCACGCTTACTTTTTGCTCTCGTGACATGTATACGCAGATAAAAATAACAAATAAATTAAAAAGGCCTTCGATAAGTTTTATTAATTTACATGTCGCTTACTATTTTAAAAATATATGAAATTTTATCTTGAAAGTAAATAATAAATTACACAAACCTCACCCTTTTTTTTAAAAAATTACACAAGATTTCTCTCCATTCTGAATTCAGGTCTGTGAATATTTTAACAATATTTGCATGATTAAAAAAAAAAAAGGCATGTTCACGTATTTTTTGATACAGTTGAATAACAATTTGCATTTTGCATTGTGTTTGATTGAAACTACAAAATAAATTTGTATGCTTTCAATATAATCTAAAAACAAAGTGAATTTAGTATAAATAACGAAGTTTATATAACTAAATCTCAGAACTCTGTAAGGCCGGCGGACCAGTTTCGATCGGATGCAGCTTCACGTCCAGTTTGTCATAATAAATTCCAATTCATTAATTGATTTGAACAGATATCTATCTATTTACATTTAAAATTAAAACTCTACACCAACTACAGTTTTTGGATGAAGAATCCACATCAGTTACATCTTGACTTCTACTTTCAAAATAGATTATTATAGTTTCATTTAGAGTTTTGATTTTGACTAAACAAAGCAGTTTCTGATTAATGTAGTACGTTACTGCATAAAAAAATTGTGTTAGAAGAAGTTAGGACAGATCATATCCCTAGGCTTTTGAGCAAGTAATCATGTCTCTTTTTTTGCTGGCCACAAAATTGTCCTTTAATTTGAATTAATGATTATCTCATGTATTGACATATATGGAAGAAAAAAAAAAGGAAATAACGTCACAACAACCTCATATAAGAAGCTGTACTCTTTGAGCAGATGACTTTACTGACTAAATAAATGAAAATATAAAGCAAACAAAATGACCAAATTCAAATTTAGACAGTATAAATAGCAGTGGTGCATTTTAATTATTTTTCAGAAAGGAAAAAAAAGACATTTTATCTATAAAATAATGTTTTTTTTATTCCAAGCTGGTTTAGCGGATTCAGTGTACCAAAGGAGCTTTAATTTGAATGGGTGTTGACAAATGGAAGAACATATCAATAGATGTTATGAATGCCCTCCATTGTCAATGGTAAGTTAAAAGGCCTTTCCTTAGGGGAAGTGTGGGTTAACGATGACACTTACCCCGACTTAAGTGTTCTAATAAATAAATCTCATTATTTCGAGCTTATCACTGATATATAGAGTATTTGTTATGCGCTTGATCTCAGCTTAAAAGGTGGAGAAAGGCATCATAATAATCTATCTAATTTTATTTATTAGTTATTTTTAACATGTTTTGTTAAAACTAAAGAAAATATTAACTTTCATTAACTATCTTTTAAAATTTAATAAATTTTCATATCTACCCTCTAATGATTAGGACAAAAAAATTTATTTTTAATATTTTTTAGTATTTAATAAGGTCTAGAATATAAATATTTGCTATTAGTTTACCAAAACTTAATATTAGAAAAAAAAAATTAATAATTTAGTTCCCATATCATTGACTTGGCTGTAACTTAAGTTCTAAATTTTAACTTGATATAAATCAATTCCTATAATTTTACTTTAAATTTTAATTTATTGTAACTTGAACCTTAAGTTTTAATAAATAATTCTAGTTTTTATAATTTTATTTTTTAAAATATAAGTATCATTATTTAAATGGTCAAAGAGTGTATGTACTGAATTCTATCGAGTCAGAGTTCATATATTAAGTTGCAATTAAGTTAAATTATAAGGATCGAGTTTTAATAAAACAAAATGCAAGAGTTGAATTTTAACTGAGTTAAAATTATAGGGACTAAGTGATCATCTTTCTCCCTAATATTAATATCAGTATCAGTTGCTTAATAGAGTTGTAAAAGTCTTGAGCCGGATTCTTGATGATCTATTTTGTTCCGAGGAACTCAAGCAATTTGCCATGTATACTAGTTTTATAAATAAGATTTTGATGAATGATTGATTATTGCTGAAAAGCTTTTATGATTGATCAACATCTTATATACAACAGATATTATCAGTGGAAATAGCTCGTATATTCTTGGAGAGTCATATTGGCAACCTCAAATTTAAGAAAAATTTAAAGAACATTCTCGGTGACATTCACCAAAAAAGACATGGTAAAAAAAAAAAAATTGGATTGAGGACAATCAAAATGCATTATTCACTTTTATTCGGCTTTTAGAACTTTCTTTCCCATCAACGTACAATATCTTGCTGGTAAAAAAAAAAAAAAAACGTACAATGTCTGCCACATCGAGCTTTTAATTTTTGTTTGATTTTGACTCACAGGGTAATTATGTTTATTTGACAAGGCACTTTATTTCTGAAAATTAAGAGTGGGGCAAGGACAAAGATTCCAACTTTATCATAGATTAGTGACGATCACGTATTTGATTTGTTTTTTGGTTTTATTTTCTAACAAGTAAAATCTTCAATCTCAATTTTCTAATTTAATGATCCTGTCAATTTGTCCTTTGAGGAAATTTTGACAGTTCAAATTTAATTCAAATCATTCATATTTTAATTCTTGACATTGCTTTTTAAAATTAACATTTAAATGGTTGCTTTCATTTTATATTCCTTTTTTATACAATTATCCATTATTCATGAATCAAGCTAGGTAGGATCACATTGACAGCAAAGCTTTTCCAACAACAATGGCATTATTAAGATTTAAACTTAATAATACTGGTTAAGTTAGTGCAATTTTTTACTAGTTGAGTTATGTGTTTGTTAGTTCATTTTATATTCTAAATCCTGTTTCATTGAAAATAATTTTTTTAATAAAAATTAAAACTTAAATCGTCTAAATCTATTCTGTAAAGAATTTATCAATTTTCTTGTTTCTTTTGGTACAAATTTATCAAATTTTTTTCAGTTGAGTATATCACAGTGCTAACTTTCATGTAATGCAATCATAGCTATGGCGTGGATTCTAAAAGCTAATATCAAGCTCATTAAGATCCTAGAAACTAAGAAATTATTAATTACTATCATGTCAAACACGACCTATATTACTTCGACTGAAAATACTTTCTGGCATATATATCATCTAATATCATTTATACCAGTTGTCGGACTTGAATTATAACCATATAAAATATGAATGTAATCTACCAATTGGAAAAGGCATGGTAAGTAGTTGGTGACTCTTATCACATTAGATGAAATGAAAAATAGTAAAAAGATGAAAGAGTCAACATTGGCAATAATAGCACTTTTTGAAGATGAAAAGTAAGATTTGTGGAGTAGAAATGAAATTACATACTCCACTATGGCACTATCTAGACCACACATGCAATGGCCCCCATATAGCTCTTCCTGGCTTTTCTTTTCTTGGAAATATTTCTGTTGATTGCTGAGTTCAAAGAAATGATTTTACTAATTTGATATTCTAAACTCTTTAGCTCCACTTGTTTTTGTTTCCCCACTTTTTTGACTTCGAAGATGGGATGGGAGGCTCAAATTTCCGGCAAGTCTTGGAATGTAAAGAATGTATATTTAATTTTAATTAAATTTACATGGTTCATGTAAAAAAATCAGACCGCCCATGATAGTTCTCCATAATCAATGTTTATTAAAATAAAAATCAAGGTAAAATTAATAAAATTGTAAGCATTCAATTATTGATTTAAAATGAGGTGTGCTTATATATATATATATATATATATATTATAGAATGCACATCTGTAAAGAAACGTGGATGCGATTCATTTAAGTGGGAGGAGACCATGGAAGAAAAAAAAGTTTGAGAAGACCGGAGTTTTTTAAAGAGAAAGTTTGAGAAGATTGGAGTTTTTTTTATAAAGAAAATGATAATTAAGTTTAAAAAAATAATTAATAATAGTTAAATCTCTAATATCCTTTTTAAAAGATAAATTAAAAATATAAATTCGTATAATTATAAATTCAAGAATTTCAATTAAAAATATTTAAATTTTAAATATAACTCTTAATTTTTAATTAATATTTGTCCAAATTAATATTTGTAATTTATTTTTTTAATTTTCATCCAAAATCTATCCATAATTAATTCTTTCTTCTTCTGGAACTTTATTGCCATTCTCTGTTTTTTAGGCTAAAAGAAGATTGGAGCATTTTTTTTTTTTTTTTGAATACAAGATTGGAGTAGTTTGATGACAAGACAAATCCCAACGCTCCAAGGGATGAACTCGAATTGGTCAACACCACATCACAATCCACACCACACAACACACGAAGGCTTTTTCAGAGCTGAGTGACTCAAGTGTCATGCGTTGACTCTCACGTTCCACAGATAAGAACATGGGGATCCTGTCATGTGGGGTCTTCCAGATTTTTTTTTTAATATTTTGGCTGGCTAAGTCTGCATAATTTTTAGGAGTCTCTGAGTTGCCTGTGACAAATTTATATTCCAGAGAGCAAATTATAAAAAGATAGAGACAGATCACAGATGGGATGAGGCTCACTAAGCCCAATAATCCCTTAAACTCTCATTACAAATAAATAAAACCTTTTGCTTAAACTTTGTACAATATATGGAAAACCAAGTCTACACAAGAATCAAGACTGGCTTATTATTTTTTCAGGGAGAAAGAGGACCATGCCAATACCAACGGAGGTATAATGGGCGTGGCAGCGGAACATGCAAAAGACAGATACATGACATGCAATCAAAAGAGAAGTGAATCATGAGCATGGGTAATCCACACGGAACATAACAAGTCCATTTCCTTCAAAAGGTTTGACAGATTCAAGGTATAGATATGCAATCAAGGTATCCCCCACCTCCCACTTCATTAATTTTTCAGATTTCCTCCCACTTGGCTCTGAACAGTGCAGCTCATTCTTCAGACTCTTTGATATGCCTAGTTAGACATTGAAGAATTCATGGATCCTCACTTGGAAAGATTCGTTTTCACTTTAGAGGATTCATACTATTTATAATGGGAGGAAGGTTCTCTCAATAAACAAGTGTCCCACCACAAGCGTCAAAAAATCAGACTGGAATTGAACTCTTAACCCTTTCCTCATTAATTATTACTCGCATATATGCCATTGCTACATGCTCGCAATGCTAATGCTATAACACTTGGACCATAAGTAAACTACAAAGACAAAATCAGCAGAAAATGTTGAAATAAATGGAGGTAAATGAATTATCATTCACACCCAATCAGTAAGTTCTCATTATAGCCTAAACTTGTTAATGCTTAAAAATCCAGACGAAGAATCTATACCTATACATAATACGGATTTAAATTCGTTATGTATGCTTGATGCTCTTACAAGCTACTTTTTCATGGGTCACAAATAGTACACTAGTTCAGCCTTTTTTTTCCCCCTTTTTATAAGAATTCGATGAATGAAGGGTTGATGGAAGTACCAGTAAGAAGGGTTAATGTTTGTTGCTATTGTTATAACAAGTTTTACATCTCAAGTCTATATAATTGGGCTTGTCAAAAAATTTCTTCCACAATCCAAGTTATTATTAGAGAATAAGATCAATTAGTAAAGAATCGTACAAATAACTTTATTTACGATTTATTTGTGATCAAATATTGGAAAAAAAAATGACGAATCTTAATATTTAAGTTATACAGTAATGAAAATCCTACTTGAGTAAGTTGAGTAACTGCTTGTTGTTCTCCAGTAAAAACCAGGGAAGGTGCTGATGGTGACTGACACAGCATGCCAAGAAATGTTGCATTTCATAAACGGCCCAATCAAACTAACAATATATTTATTCATTCCAAGCATGGGATACTCCGCACAAGAAAATGAACAACCATGTGACCATGTCATTGCTTGCTCCCTAAAATTTTACTTTACAAGCTAAACTACGGGATCAAGTAGTTTTTTCCTTTCTAACATTGTGACAAATAACAAGGATAAGCAATGAAACGTCAAAAAGAATAGTGACTTTCAAAAAAACAATATCAACCAGGTCTTACTAATCATACCTTCAAATATCCAGTCAGCAAAGGAAGATATTCCAATGTACTAAACTGGCCTGTGAATAGCCAGCCTCCTTGTATTTTATCTGCATGAAACTATTTGTGAAACTTAGGTTCAAGTTGAGAGCCTGTGCCCTAGCCAAAGGGGATTCTGTCAACTCCACAAGGAACTCAATTTGGATGCAAGTTTGGCACTCTTGTAGTCATCCCTAAGCTGAATAAATCTGTATAGCAGAAAATAAAATTTTTATTGTTATACATGAACAGTGAGCAACCAGGCAAGGACTTTCGAGAGAGAAGATGAACAACTTTCTAAAATTAACTAAAAAAAATGAACACTTGTATGGCCTTTGTTTGGAACCAAAACTGAGGCAATCTCAAAATTGAAATAGTAATAAATTAGAACTAATATTTAACCTCATGCTTGAATCATAATTCATAAATAGAGGCATCTATAGATCCAATGTAATATACCTTTGTGCATCACTGCTAGGTGTACCCTCAAACAAAGTTGCAAGGCTTTCGGGAGCAACAATGAAGACATTGGCTAATCTACAGAAGTTCAGAAATTAGTTGATTAGTTGATGGGAAGGACGGGAGGAGAGGTTTAAATTCTTGCATATCTCACGCAGCTTACATGCTCAGTGATTCAAATTTCTCATCAACAGAAGGGGCATTAAAATTACGCAAGAACTCTCCATATTCAGTTATGTCACGCTTCAACCGCAATCCCCCACTACAAAACATATGAGAATCAGAAAGTCAGAAAACAGGTATATAACCTGTTGACTCTAAAAAGAACATAAATTACTGCCAGCAACATAGCATAAAAATTGAGACAGTGAAGACAAGATTACTTTCTGTGCAGAACATGGCAACACACACACACACACACACACACACACACAAAAAACTAAGGCATTATACTGAGGTACACATATAATGTAGAGAAGATCCCTATTTCACTATTTCAAGGAATATATGACTTGGCACAAATTACCTTGGATTAAAAGTAAACTTCTGCCAATGGTTTAGCAATGTCTTGTGCACCCGATTCCCCTAAAGCGACAAAAGCTACCATGCAATCAATGAAATTTGGAAAAATATATAAATATTCAGCACAACCACCACAATCTATTACTATTCACCATTCCTGTCTTCATGCCCATCCCTAATGCAAGTAAGACATGTAATGACTGAAGCGGTGCATTATGATGACATTGGGTGCATTTCTAGTGCTATGTGTAATGCATGATGTGACTGCTTCAGCCACATACTGCATTTTAGAAAAAATGAAATCAAAATCTGAGTCAAAGACAAGCCTAGCCAATGACTTTACAATTAAGAGGTTACTTAACCCAAGTCTATGAGAAGCAAAATGAGTGAGAAAAGATTGTCATATCGAATCTGTGCTAGCCTAAAAAGATGTTGTCCACAAAGAGGAACTTTTGGCCAATAATACTCGTTATAAGACAAGTTTTACAATAAGGCCATACGATGATCAGGTCTCCATGAAAGCACATACACCTACTCTGGAGAAGCAGCCATCAGCAAGAGCTGCATCCATTCAATTGAAGATATAGAATCATAGAAGCAAGAGTAATTCACGCATAAGAAATGTAATACTGTACCAACTCAGTCAGGAATGCCTGTTTATTTTGACCTTCTAGGCCAGTAAATGCAGGCTCCAGCACACGAGAGAGATATGACACAACCCTGACCAAGAAAATCAAATATCCTAGTTAAGAATACAAGATGCAGAGATAAAAAGAAAACAGAAAGAACATTTTGTTAAATGTAACTCCAAGTGGTTAACATGCTGTCTCATCTGAAATGAAGTAAGGTAAATTCCCATAAACATCAGCATTGCAAACAATAATTTTACTTCTTCAATGTATATCTACCTTGTGCACGCATTGGTTGCCCGGTAGTCAGGAGCGATACCGTCATCAGGTGATCGATAATCTGTAGCCTTTTGCTCAGCTGAGAGCAATCGTTCCACCTACATGGAGGTTTGAAGCAAAAACATATATTATTTTTATGGCACAAACATCGTAGCAACAATATCTTGACAAGCATCCAGCTCAGATAGGCCATTTGTCATTACAGGGGTAATTATGTAGACACATACCCATTAGTCTGATACTAAACTCATTTGATGACAAGAGAAACAGTGATGACAGAATATTCAGTTAAAAACAGGTCACCATACAGTGAAAGAAAATAGACTTGCAACACACCACAACCGACCTCAGCCATTACAGTTTCGATGCATTGTTGTAATCCCTGGTAAGCAGCAGCTTCTGCTTTGGACATTGTCATTGCCATTTCTTCACAAGAAGCAGCATGTGCTCCATCCACAGGAAGCAAAAGCCGAGATATGGAGTTTGCAAAATACTGTTAAAAAGTAATCAATTTAATTTATTAGTTACAAAATATAGATAAAGGTAGATCAAGGCTCCCCATCATACTTGTTGAATAATAGCCACACTGCCAACAGAACATTGTACAGCAACCAGAAACGATTTGAAACTGCTTTCACCAGCCGCAGCTGCAGCCTCTGCCTGCATATCAATAATGAACATATTAAATTAACAATGTCTATGCTAAGATTGTCTAAACAAAAAAGCTCACAAAAATTTCTTGTACTTACATTGGAAGTTGCGCTAGCAGCTACTCTTCGGCCAACACCCAGTGAAAATCTTTCCCTCAAGTTAGCAGCATCAGTCAGGCCCTCTCTAGCACGCTCAAGTCCATCTACAATGTATTTACTGACCTGCATATAATGCATAAGAAATAGCCCTGACAACTGGCTCCAATTGACAAAGTATATCTGAAATATGAATGTCAAAAAAAATATCTTACTTGGTCCAGCAGGCAAGCAAACACTGCTTTTACATTGGTTGCAAGGATGGCTGGCTGGACAAGAACAAAAAGTTAGCAGCGCATACCAGAGGTTAAAATCTCACATCCGCATAGAAATATTACACCTTCATCACCTCAGATTGGTCAAGTATCAGATGTACATAAGAGATATCACATAATCAGCTAATCAGTGTAGAAGTTTTTTCTTTTTTTTTTAAACAGAAAAATAAGTCATTGAAAACAAGGAAGTTTGCTTTGCTTGATTTTGGGTTATGAAACAGATGCTTGCTGAGAAAACAATGAAGGAATGCAAGCGGAAATATTTGGATTTTCAGAGAAGATGCACTGCATTATTTTCTTAGTAATCTCACTTCACCAAAACGCACTAGGTTAACATAAGATGAGATGCCGCCAGTGACAATCTCCTAAGATTCTAGATAACTTTGGAACTTAAAATTAGAAGATAATATCATGTAAAGTAAAGGAGAGAAAGACAGAATGATAAAATAGACCAAACTAAACAATCAAGGACGGATATGAAATATGAACACCAAGACTCCTCAAATTGGAAAATAGATATTGATCATTCTCAACATGCTTCTTAAGCTTTCAAATTTAACTCAGATATTGCCTTTGTCAACAAATCAGCCACCTGAAATTGACTAGGTGCATAATGAAGTTCGAACGCTGCTGAATCAAGCTTCTCTTTGACAAAATGTCTCTTGAAATCAATATGCTTGGTTCTTTCATTATGAATCAAGATTTTACAATCCTTATTGTTGCCATATTTTAATGAAGAACCCTCATAGGAACCTCTACTAAATTCTTAGCTCACTTCACAATCTTTTTAACCACAATCGTTTATAAGTCCCTTGAGAAAAGCCCAGTACTTCACTTATGCACTACCCGAGCAAAAAACAATTTTTATTTATTGGGCTTCTTCGTGTTACTGTAGTACCCCAAACAAAAGAAAGTACGCTGCTGTAGAATTCCGGTAAATTATAAAGCCAACCTAGTCAGCATCACAGTACATTTCTGTACCTCTCAATAATCACTCCACATCAAAGGTGCCTCTTTAGCCCCCCCCCCAAAATTTTATTCTGAACAACTTTTCTCCTATGTAGGTCTTGATTAAAGCAAGAGCCAGCATCTGCTGTTTCTGTATTGTTCTTGCTACTTTGCATCTTATGTCTTTTGTTTCCTCCCTCCTACCTACAAAGAACACCTCACCTATTAAGTGAGATGGTTGTCTCCCTATATGTCTTCCCCTCACCTCATTTACTTCTATATGCAGCCCAATAAGGAATTGTAAATTCTCTCTTCCTCGACCAATTTATTTGGTGCTCAGCATCTTCAACCGACTTCCACTCATAGTCATGGAATAAATCCAAGTCCTGCCTGCCAAAACTATTTTAAAGAATTGATGTGCTTGGTACACTTTCTCCATTTTGGCAAATTTTGCCAAGATTTAAGATCAACTTATAAACTTGCAAAATGTTAACCAAATCAGAAAGATTTGGTTGACATTATCTTAGAGCTCCTTGGTTGTGGGATAATACATATAATTGTAACCAATGTCCTCATTAATGAAATCTACTAGACATGTTGTAACCAGGGATATGTTCACCATCCCATATGATAAAAAATCAGCGCTGGTTTCCTAGTGCCAATGCTAGCAGTCAAATTTTTTCATCTCCTTCAGACAGATTGCACATATGCAGGTATTGGGACTAGGATATTCACACCATCCAGGCGAATAAGAGTGCTTTGAACTGACAATTGAGTGAAAATCATTGAGAGATGCTCTTAGTTCATTGTCAAGATTTGTTTGGAAGGGTCTGTGTGCACTGACTTTGGACATTTTTTATATACTGGTTATGAAGTATAGAAGTTTGTAATTGGCCAGAACTAGGTTTTGATACCATCTGAACTGAGCACTTCTTTCCTATATATATTCTTGCATAACAAAGGTATAAGACACCTGCTTTTAAGAAGTAAGGCCAATTGCTGTACAAGAAGGGGGAAGAGAAGCATACCAAACAGAATAAAAATCCTAATGTATAAGAACAAACAAACAAACTTGAGTAGATAAAAATAAAATTTAAATATATCTAATATTATTCTCCTAGAATTCAGGGATAAATTGAAGTAGTTGAGACATTCATATAATTTGAAATATCCCAGACAGTTTCAAGACATTCCAATTGGTGATCCCAAATTCAAGTTACCCCTTCTTGTTGGGGCACTGATGGAACCCAACAAAATAACCAGGCTTAATGCAGAAAAATTAAAGGAACAGCTAGCAAAAGCTGAGGGAAATACTGAAGTTTGATATTAATGTATTCAAAAGACTAAGCCAATATTACAAGAAACTCCACTGACTTGTATCAAAACCTATCCCCCATTACAATCCAAAATATTCAGATCAGAAATACAAAACACAAACACAGCACAGCTTTACTAAACTTGCCCTCTGACTTTCAAGAGGCCCAGTCTCTACCCACAACCAAATACAAAATATGACCTGATTTCTACTAGGAGACTCCAACCACTGATATAAGCCAAAAAGTAACATTTACAGTCTCCAATACTACCCTCATTGCCCAGACCTATAGCAACCCTACAGCAACTATAATTGCTTGTTTCTTTCTCCCTAACGTTAGGAGTCTCAAGGTCAATGCCCTGATCATCAAAAAGTTACTTTCCCTTTTCTTGAATCTTCCTAAGTTTCCCCTCATAGGCCATTGCAGCAAAAGTGGTTCTATCAGGCACTAAGGGGAAAAATGAACATGTAAAGAACCAGAGACATAGTAAGATTGTATCAAAAGAGGTTACTTGGCCAGGGTTTTGCAAACAATATTTTGGGGGTGCCAATGCTTTTCCAATAGAAAAGGCAAGTTATTACCTGAGAGGAAAAGAGATTGCACCTTGAAATTGCTTCTTCATTCCAACGCACAAACTCTGACACAATTGTGGCAGATATTTGCTGTAGAGGAGAAGCAATTGAAGCTCCTTTTGAGCGTCCAATTGTTCCAGGTGACTCAGATATCTGCTGGCTTTCAGCTTGCAGTTCTTCCAGCTGCATTGCATTATCCCAACTAAAGCAATTAGCAATCAAATCCAAAACCAATGAAAGGGGAAAATTGAAAGAAATGCAAACCTTCACTTGATACAATTGGTCAAGAGATGCCTGCTCATAGTCGGGGTATTCATCCTTATGATTTGAAAACAAGGATTCTGTGAGGCCTGAATCATATAAGAATTTTAAGAGAGCATGAGATCACAGGAAAAGTTACTCATATCTGAAAAATGTTATCTTCAAATCCATAAAATTTCCAAGAATTTTAAACCATAGCTGAAATTTGTAATTCAGAGCAATGAAGAACAAATAATTTAATTTAAATAAACTAAATAAGAAGTAAATGTCAAGGTTCCCAAAACTACTGCAGCATATTATACTGCAGGCAGATAACCACCCACAATACACCTATAACATGACATAATATGGGTGACACTACCACTTCCAGGCTAAAAAACAGCTTTCTTCCACTTAAACCATCATCAGATATTACTACCAATTAACAAAACAATACGTCATGTTTAAATGTCATTTCAAACGATGTTCTTCTCAGAGATTAATTCAGTACAATGAAGAAATTCAGGCAAAAGGAACTAGCAGCATGTGTTAAATCATTACCCTCAACATCCAAGTCTCCACATCCCACCGCTTGCAGATCCCTAGCAAGTTCTTGCGTCTTTTCATATGTTACTGATAGAATTCTGAGATACTAAAGCCTCAAAGTTAAGTACAGATGACATCAATATCAGTTTACTGTCTAATTTGACATTTAGGAAATAACAATGAAGCTGGTGAGATAGCAGATAGCAGCACTCACTAATAGAAGTCCACCTTCCTCCACGGAAGGTGGATTTATAAGAGGTGGCCTTACTAATAATTTGTCCAAAAGGGCAGTGACTCGCTGCTCTAGAACTCGCTACATGGAGAATTACCAAAGAAAGAATAACAAATAATGGTTATGACAATACACCAAGATACATGGCCTCTTTAAAGCCATATTATCAGGGGAAGACCATGTCCTTTGGTACCTGAACTAAAATTGACATAACCTCGTTGGGTGAAGGGAATACAGCTGTGATTTTTGCTGCTTCTTTGCGAACAGTATCTGAAACAATTCAGCATGCCATTACTGATTCCATGAAGAACTAAACATTTCACTAATAAGTCATTATATTTCAACATTCAAACCTGTGATTTCTCCGTACAATGATGAAAGCCCTTTAGTGACATTACTAGGACTAGCGTGTGTGCCATCATCACCAAGAACCAACCTAGTATCAGCATTCATGACTTCCACATCAATAAACATTGGACGGGTTGCTACATAATGTTGCATGGCACTTGTACCCCTATTGAACTGCATTGAAAACAGGTAATTTCACACAAATGAACACTTTGGTCAATAATTTAACTGCTACATCATTTCAGTTAGTGTTGACACCTATACAATTTTTTTAGCATAATTTTCTCCAAGAAATATGCGGACATAAACATCCTTAATCTCCAACTACTATATATAGCCTGTTCATTTGTTAATGCTGAAATTTACTCAAGGATTAGTGCTCCTACCAACTGTATAAGATTGTACCGTGAGATAAGTAAAACCAAAAAGCTTCATCAAGGGAGGATTCTAAGAAGCTATAGAAATGAGAGGGAAAAAGAGAGAGAAATGTATATGTATGCAGAACAAAAGATTAATTGCCTGTGACAAAATTTTGGCACATTCAGACATCGTGGATAAATCTCTTTTCTGTGATGCTGCATCAAACCGAGCCAACAATCTATTCTCCAATTCTGCAAAAATAGAAAAACAAATAAGACACTAATTACTTGGAAAAATAAAGTTAAATATAAGGTATGCCTTGTATATTTTTGTCTTAAATTGTTTAGGTAACAACAGTTATACACCCAGAAGTGTATGAGTAAGGCAAATTTGTTTGTTTTCACCTTATTATAAATTAGAAGAAACAAAATTCATCCTGTGGTCTAACGTAATGGGCTACGGTAGGATATAGCTGATGTCAAATGTTGTTGGTCAAGTCATTGGGTTCAAATCTCCAAATAAGAAGGAAAAAAGGAAATTGGATACAAACAACATTTTTAATGAATGAGTTGACAAAAATGGTGTTTTTATCTTCTTAAATGAAGAGACTCTTCATTCTTTTTATTTGTAATTAGGATAATTGTATTATATGTTATCAAGCAGGCATATCTTTCCGTGCTTTTCAAATTACTAACCATTGCAATACTCTTGTAGATTAGAAACAGCAAATTCTAATCCTTTGCTTGCAGCTGCATTCCCTATCATTGATGGGGCACCTATGCCACGTCCTCCAATATCTTCTTCAGCAAATGACCCTGAAGATGACCAGAATTAGCACAGTCTATGATAAATGGCAGAAGCTTCATAATCAAGATCCTGTAGATTATCTGTGTAAATTTCTTATGCAGTTGGAGAGAGATGGACATAAGGTGTGGGGGCCAATATTTTAAAAAACAGCTTATAATGAGGCCTCGTTTATAGGTATAGCTCTCTAACTTTACATGATACATCCAAAGTGAAAAAGCTTAGAAAAAGTTAATCTTACGTAATTTTTGGGCAACTGAAGCAGCCTCAGCAGTACGGCTGTCATCAGAAAATAGAGGAGAAAGCTTTATCAGGTCACCAGGACTGCTGTTGAACTCCATCAAGTACTGCAAAGAGAAGAAATTATATCAACCACAAACAATGATTCCCAGTGTAAACATATATAGACAACATTGGTTGACTGATTATAATTATACCTTTATTAGCTCAATAGTTTGACTGGCAGTAACCCGTTGAGCATCTGCACTCTGCCAAGTCATAAGAGTACCGGCTGAGAAACTATATTTCATAGAAAAAGAGTATTTGACCTGCCTATAAAGGTAAAGATGTGATCATGAACTATTTGTAAAATGAATATAATAACTTTTATTCCACTAAATGGAGTCGGCTACATGTATTGCACAACACTATTTAACTCATTCAACAACCAACTCTTCACATATACTGTTGATTTGCAAAATGAATAAAGCTTTTAAAATTCTACCTGAAGTTGATCTCCTATCTTTGCAGCAGTCTGACCAACACTTGAAATACGCGAATCCAGCCTTGCAAAGCTATCAAACAAACCATCTACTCCTGTTTCTAGCTGAAAAGAGTATAAAAACACATGCAGTAAGAAAAATTACGATTGGACAAATAGAATCAGTAAAGGAAGTAAGATCCCCTTCTCATTGGAAAAAAAATGAAAACTTAAGAAGGGGAGTTCTGATGTTAAAAAAGTAGCAGCCAAATATCAGTGACACATCATATATTTGCTACATCCAAGGTCTACAAGAAGACTTCTTATTTTCTTGATTCAAAGCAATCAAGATATTATAGAGTGCTTGAAAATTTTGGTAAGATGAACCATACAGCAGACTAACCTCAGCAAGTGTCTTACGATGCTTAGTGTCTTGAACAGAGACGTCTTTCTTAAGATTGTAGAGCCTGCCATCAATCTTCAATTCATATTGAAGAAAAAAAGAAAATTAGGACATCAACATACAACTCATTAAGTTCTGGGAAAGTCAGAGAGGAACCTGTTTACGAAGCTCAGCCAGCTCCTTGCAATAGTCATTGAACAAAGATAAGAGCTTCTCAACATCTGGGAACAAGGGAGTAGAAAGATTCTGAGCATACTTTGCTGCATCGGATGAAGCGCGCCTATGTCCATTTGAAAAAGAATCACCCCCAGTGACGTTGTTGTGTCCTTCTGATGAATCTATTGCTTCTTCTTGGAAAGATGGAAGGATCACTTTCACCATATTTCCAAATAATGCATCAAAAGAAAAGTCCCCCTATATGTGCAAGGTTAAAGATGATTTACCGAATCTCAAAAGAATATACTTGCATCACATGGTTTCAACTTCTACCTTAAAGTCATCAATATCCATAACAAGGGGGAACGAGTTAGCTGATGTACATTTCGAACTTTTTTCATTCTTTGTTCCACTTCTTGTCTCCCTCATCTGCCTTACATAACGTCAATCAACATAAACATTACAATAAAGTTATGACCGCAACTCACGCATCGTTAGAATACATTGTCATACGAAATTGCAATTATTAACAACAAATGCAACGATGAAACCCCACTTTTAGCTTAATTTTAGTTTCACAGACAGAGGATTAGCAGACTCGTATGAAACTGAGGTATGATCTCAGAATCCAAGGAAGCCCCTGAAAAAAAAAAAAAAAGAATTTCAGCTACCCATAAATTCAGATAGGAAAAATTACGTACACCCAACAGAATTCAAAAGCAGATTCTTGCCGCAACATATTTAAATAAAGCAGAATAGTCCAATCCGATATCGCATAATAGCAACAGCAAAAACGTAAAGTAGAGGGCACCTCTTGGCTATGACTAAGAAAGCAGAGTCTTCTGGGTTGCAGAAAGGTCCAACGAAATTTTCAATGCAGAAGTAACTCCTGTAATTTCGAAAATTTGATAATAGTCCAAATCCATAAACGAGAAAAGCTTGGAGTCTGTAATTCCTCCCCTCAACGAACAATCCAACAAATATATACCAGTAGCTTGCAATGAATATCGAACAGCATTTGACAAATTTGCTACTTGTTTGTTACTTAAAAATTAATGAATTTGATAATATTACATTATTTTCTTAATTTACTCTTAAAAACTTGTTAAAAGCTTGAAAATTTCTATTTTTGGAAATTTGGCGTTGAACATTTATTTCTAAATCTCTTCTTTTGACCGATTCATTTTTATTAGCTACATGGTGTAGTATCTTATTATTATTATTATTATTTCTATATGTAGTTTTCCCAATTCCAGTTAAAAGATATAATTTTTCTAGCATGGATCTTAAATGTTGACCAAAAAGTCAGGCCAAAAAATGATGGGAAAAAATAGAACTTGAATTGATAGAAAAGTTTTGAATTAGAATGAAACAAAATAATTCTAACTTTGATCTTATATTAATATAACATTACTTGAATCCTAATTATAAACAAACCCTAATTGGAATGAAACAATAATGAAATTGGAGCTCATTACAGCCAATTCATGCTTCTTTTGATATACTAGTAGTTAGTAGTTTGAAGCAAATTAGCAACCAAGCAGCAACATAATATTAATGACAGTTTCATTGTTACGATTATAGTAAACATAATTTCAATGTCTTTTACATTTTTTTTTTGGGCCAAAATTTTAATGTCTTTGACGGGCTTAGAGTTTTTAAGATGTGATATTTTTTTTGGGTAACATTTAAGATGTGATATTTCCTATTAAGTCATTTAAGAAAACGATTACAAGATCCTGATAAAGCCAAAATTTAACGACAGTTTTAGATCTTAAGAATAATTAATTAAAATTTCAAAATCTCTAAACCAAACATTTACAAAGTTTGGGGTCATCAGCAGTAAATTTCTCTTCTCTCTTCCAATAACATTAACATAAGAGAGAATGAGAAGGATGCTAAAAAAATTAATTAATTTAAATTAAATATAAAATGTTAAATTTATAATTTAATTTTATAATTTTATAATTTTATTATGATGAATTTATAACTTGTGTTTTAAATTTTAATAAAAAAATAATTTTTTTATTTTTTAATTATGTTAAAATTTTAAAAATAAATAATAAATTTATCATAAAATAATTATAAAATTAAAGATTAAATAATAAATTTATAAAATTTGAGATGAGACTTAACATAAATTAATCAATAACCTATTTGTCATTTTCCTTGACGTAACTCCCTTCGCGCCTCATGAAAATAGGGGAGCGAGGTTTCTCCAAATTTTCAAATTTCATTCCGTTTTCGCAGTTTTATAATTTTGACGAGAGGGAAGAAGGGAGAAGAACAGAGACCGAAGATTGAACGTCAGCGAGAAATGGGCGATTGTGATGGAGGTGACTTTGCTGGAACCATTTGCTCAATCTGCTACGAAGTTCTCAAGCCCATTGTCGAAGACCTCCAATCCATCAATATCTGCGGCCATGTCTTCCACGAGCTCTGGTCAATCTCATTGCCCTCTTCCTCTAACTAACACCGATGTTGTCGTGTTCTAGTGTCTGTATTCTATCATTGTTCAACATTTATGTAAATATCGTTGCTTCTTAGCCCTCATTTCTAATTTTCCATGCGCTGATTGAATATCACATGGTGAACATTTCAGTTTTTCTTTTTTCTGGGTTTATGTAATTATCCAGTTTTGCTTCTCTTGTAGCTTGCAGCAATGGTTCGAGTACTGTTCAACGGCAAAGAAATGCACTTGTCCTGTGTGCAAGCAGAGTTGTCGAGCGAGCGATGTTGCTCGGTTGTATTTCCAGTCTCTCGGAGACGCGAAGGATGCTGTTCTTCCTGAGAAACCCTTAATGCCTGAGGAGGAAGATGCGGGGGTTTTGCGTAGAGAAGTGAAAGTGTTGGAATTGAAAGTTTCGGGGCTCAGCTCAAAATTGGAGCAGCAGGGGAAGAAATTGGGAGATGTAACTAATGAGGTGCTCTTATTTGCTTTTCCGTTATTTGATAATTATTTCCGAATGATGATGGCAATTTGATTGCTGATCAACTGGATGGATATTTTTCGGAACTCTTCAATTCACTGGGCAATAGCATTTTTTGTTTGTTTTTGTGTTTGTGGATAGGGAAATTGTATTTTTAATATGCACTGAACAAATAACGTGCTATAGATAAAAAAACATATTCTTAGCTAAGCATGTGAAAAGTTCAGTGGGTGTTGCTAAGGAAATGGTTGCTAATAAATTCGGAGTAGCTAGTTTAGAAATTTAATGTTAACGTTTTCTCCTGACTTTTATATTAACCTATATATTGACAAAATAATGAAACCTCGATAATTTGATTGGAGCAAATGAGTTGAATTGACTGAGAATAGGTGGATATATAAAGAAAAGAAAAAAAATACCATCACAAATGGAAATCCTGTTGCTTATGATTTTCACCAAATTTATCCTCAATCAGATCATTTATTAGTTGAGTGACAACAATAATCTCTGCTTAATGCGGTCAGGGAAACTTCATTAGTATAACCAAATGTTTCCGCAAAAGTTCTTGCTCTCATTTCTTATCATAATGATCAAATGTAAATATTCATTACCTTGGCACCTGCCAATTTTTTTTTTTTTTTAATTGTCAATATGTTGCTTACTTTTAGCTCTTAAACAAGTCTTCTTTCAGCTTTATGCTTGCAAGGAGCGGGCAAAATTAGATGCAGAACTAAAAAATGAAGCATTGAAACAAAGAGCGTTTGTACAAGACCAGCTTCTTATGAAATCGGAGGTAAGTTACCCTATATGCATCGTCTTGTTTCCAATTATCTTACTGTTTAGATTATGAGTTATGATGTTTTGGATGTCTAGGAGCTTGAAAAGTCAACTGTGGAGTGCTCGAGATTACAGGATAGAAACATGGCACTGGCTAAAGAACTTGCAGCATTCAAATTGTGAGTGGAGTTGCTCCAAGCCAAAAAAAAAAAAAAAGTTGTTTTATTGGCTACTCTTGTTTTTTTTCTTTCTTTTTTCTTTTTTTAGATTTTATTTGTGGCATGTAATGCAGAGTAATAGATCCGAACCTTGATGAAGATGAGGTTTTGAAGCTTGCCACTTTGGGTAATGGTGCCAACAGTAAAGATACGATCGACACGTTACGGAGATCTTTGGTCATGCGAAACAGGTTTGTACTTTTAAATGTCCTCTACTAACTTGACAGTAATGAAGATGGCTTCTGAAGGGCCCTTTGCCTTTTAACTTAATATTTTGTATGCTATAGTCATAGAATTGGTAGTTTCTCCTTAATGTTGCACTTCATTGCTTATGCCACCCCCCGGAAGATAGCTTGAAATTGCATTGTCTTAATAGGAGTTACAAAGAATTAATGACCAAGTGCAATATTCTGGGAAGAGGGGAGGCACGTTATAGTAGAAAGCTTGAGAAGTCTAAAGAGAAAATCAAGAAACTGAAGGTACCGCATGATGCCTATAATCTCATTGGTAACAGACTTTTGTGGGCCCTTAATTGTTAGCTTTGTGGGCATTGTCAGGAAAGGATACAAGAACTGGAAACAGCAGCTGAAGTGAAAGAGAATGAAATCCTGAGGTCTCTGAAAGTTTCAAAGAAAACAGGTTGCTTCAAGAATCTTGAAAGCAATAACAGCTATAATTCTGATCTATTGTCAGCAGATAAATTTCCATCAAAAGAACAATGGAAGCAAGTTTTGACACCTCATTCCAGGACAGATCTCCCTGTGAACAACAATAATAAAGTGTTGCGATCTGCAAAGATAGAGAACATTGATGGTAAGGAAAGTAGAGAAAATAACGATGTGAATTTCAGCAAAGAAAGTTCAACTGGGATGTGTCTTAATGGAGAGGAAAATTGCATCTCACTTGATGAAGACGATTCAGAATTTACCAAAGGTTTGCCAGGATTTGCAAAATACAACTGTGAAGGCCAAGACAGTGATACTGTTGCCATTAGTAAGCCCACTCTAGCAGAGCCAGAGGCAGCTTCTAGTGTAGAGAGAGAAACAGCAATGCAAGGGGAATACGACCTGGCGGAGCCTTTAAGAGTTGACATTAACAATGAGTTGGGTAGGAATTCTGCCAATACTATGTCTGAAGATGTGACATTACTAGACAATGTGAAACAAGTTCAGACCATTATTAATATTCGAAAAGAAAATCTATCCCCACTGCCACTTTCCATTCCAGGTATGCTGTTGGTCGTTAAAAGGGTTCCATTCTAAAGGCAGATTTGATGGAAGAAAAATAAAAGTGATCTCTTTCTTCTTGACTTCCAGGAGATATTTGTTTTTCTGGCAGCTTACTTGGTCCTGATGGAGCTAATCGATACTTGGGGAAATGGTGCAAGCGTGGACAGAAAAAGGAAACAGTCACTCCAAAAGCTTCAATCAATGGCGATTTGATAGCTGTAGGGGCAGATGGTAGAGGTGGTAAAGTTAAAGTTCTGAGATCTCCAAACCAAACCTTCCAGGTGAGTTCACCACATTAAATTCTTTCTGGCCCGTATGTATTTTCAATCATTGTTTACTAATAAGTCGATTATGTTTTGCAATTTCTGTAAAACTACATATGACTAGGGCATGGTCGAAAAAAGAAAAAAAGGGAACATGCTTGTTGCCTTCTGTATTATTGTTACCTACGCAAAAGTACGCTTGGTTGAATTGAAATTTGAGTTCTTTATTATATTTCTGGAGTGTTCTTCTGATGAACTGCACTTGCAAAAGTTTGATACTGCATCTCTCACCCTTATCATTCCTGTATGCAAAGGAATGTTCATTGATTTGGCTTGAATCATTGGGGATACCTTATCCAACTAAAACAATTGAATTTGGTTGGCTAAAAACCTAATTGAATAATCAATCAAATTGACCATAACTGAACCAATCTAATGCAAACTTGATCGGTTTGGATTTGCATCAAATGGTTGGTTTCATGGGAAGAATGGGTGGATTGATTGAGTTTATTTCTTATTTGCAGGATCGTAAGGATAATTCAGTAGGTTCAAAAAGGTTGAAATT